CAAGTCTCATGCACACTACAGATCCTGTCCCTGAGAAGCTCTAATATGAAGAGGTGGGTCCATCAGGCCCTCCATAAGAATAATCAGCCCCTGGATGCTCAGAGCTCATGCAGCATTGCCATGAAATAGCTCCTTCTTAGCCTGGTAACTTTGGTTCCTAAGTCATGGCACCAGCTTCAAGTTCAGATGAGTTTCCCAGCCTTCAGATCATGTGATCAGAACTGCTGGGAGCAGAATGAGCAGAAAGGGAAGGGCCCACCATCCCATGAAGACTGACAGCACATGGAAGATGGTTATTAAAATACAGTGCACACCTCTGTGAATTAAGAGACCATTTCTTCTCTCCATTTCATCAGTGACAAGCTATCATGAAGCTATACTAAAATCAGTCAGTGGTTCTCAACCTGTGGGTCCCCAGATGTTGTTGGACTACAACTCCTATCATCCCTGACCACTGGTCATGCTGGCTAGGAATGATGGGAGTTGTAGTCCAACAACATTTGGGACCCACAGGTTGAGAAACACTGAATCATAATGTTAGTTATTGAAACCTTCTATTACAAAGCCACATACGCAGGTACTCACTATAGGCAACAAAGGAAGTGAATGGGTTGGTGAGACAGCCATCTCCTATCACTTTATTTTAACATTTCTTTAACTTGTGGAAGGGAGCTTATCGTTTGAGCAGAGCACAGGCTTCCTACGCAGAAACTTCCAGGTTCAATCCCTGCCATCTCTTACGTAGTGCTCAGAGAAAAGACTGATACCCTGGAGAGTCGCTGCCAATCAGTGTTGATCTGGAGTCTCCAACCCCAAGGCACAAGTGGAATTCGGGGGGGGGGGAGTGTTGTGGTTCCAGTCATGAAATGGCTGCTTCTGGAGCATATTAAAAGAAGAATGTGAAAGTCACATAAAAATGGTTCTTCCTGTAACTGCATGATTTTTACATGGGATCAGATCTGTCTCCATGGCCTGGGCTATAAAAATCACAGATCCAGCACTTTGCCAGCACCAGATAGATCTCCTCGTGATTTTTGCACCCCCAGCAAATCAAAGCTCATATTGATGTGGATTTTGATGTCACTCTTTTGTGTCACTACTGCACAAAAAACACAGAACTAAGGTTCAGATCCTCACGGGTACTTCTAGTTTTTGCGGGGGCTTCCTCCACTCCCAAATAACTCCATAGATGTACACAGATGTGAACTGTGATTTGATGTTGGTCTTTGGGAGTTTCTTGGTGTGTGTTTTTTTAAACGTAAAGGTCCATGAGTTTTTGTTCCTTGAATCTATATTTTGGCATAACGGTTGCTCTGGCGGGCAGTGAATAGTTTGGTTATTGCAGTGCAATTCACAGAAACCACTGTCAGATTTCATGGCAATTTCGGAGCCACACCTTGTGAAAATCATGAGGATTCTTGTCTTAGATCCATATTTTTGTACCATGCTGGTACCCACGGTGCCCCCGAAAGGTCTCCCCTTTGCTTTCGTTGCTGCTTCCCTCCTGCATTTCTGTTCATCATAAACACATCCACTGCAGTTCATAGTCTCAATCTCCTCTGACTAGCATTGAGAAGGGAAGAGTAGGCATCCAATAAGAGGGACAGGGTGCATGTTTAAACTCTGTGCATTTACCAGAGATTAAGTGTGAACTGGTCTGAGCACAAATAGTGGGGAGGGGGGAGCCTCCAGGGGTTCACAGACTCTCAGAAATGGCAGGAAAAGCCTTGGTGGACATCTGTACCAGTGAACTCTAAACTGGGGAGCCCATGGGTAAACAATGCTGAGCTACGTAGATGGACTCATGGTCTGGCTCGGTGTAAGGTAGTTTCCAAAGCTCCTGCAAGAGCATCTAAAGAAGAATGATGTACATACCCTGCTTTCAAGAAGTGAAATGATAAGAAACTGGCAAATTAGATCTGGCTCAAACAATATTCAAGAGTCTAGCAGAGAAACTTGGAAAAGCATAGACCCCCCCCAAAAAACACACACACACACACACACACACACACACACACACTATAATGAAAGAAAACTTCCACCCAAAGTTGAAGTTGAGAAAATCTTTTGCATTTAAATAACATGAACAATGGAACGATGTATTTCTGGATTAGCAGTTCTATGCCACAAGAGTTGATTATATTCCCTAGCAGTATTAATAAATAACTAAATTCCATAGCAGTTAATAGCAGAGGTGCACAGCTGCACTATAGCATGGGAGAGAGCATTTCCAGGGCAAAAGGGGCCCTCATAAATCAGCGTTAAGAAAATAATTTAGTTAACCAGAGTTTTCCAACACCATAAACTCACTGAATTACTTCTGATGTTATATCAATGAAATTAACTCCTAAAGGGGAGCATACGTCTACAGCTTGTGGTGCTGATTAATGACAGTAGTAATCTTACTGTTAGAGGAACCTAGGCTTATACTGACTCATACCATTGCTCCATCTATCTCAGTGCATTCCACACTGCCAGCAGCAGCTTTCAGGGATTTCAGACATGGGACTTTCTTTGTCCTACCTGGACGTCCTGGGGATTGAACCTTGGACCTTCTGCTTGCAAGGCAGCTACTGTTCCACTGAGCTGTAGCTCTTTCCCTAGGGAACTTTAACAACCCCATTCATGTTTCTGGAAGAAAAACCACAGACCATGGTGCAAAATGCCACTTACACTATTCCTATTTTTCATATCTGACCATGTAGAGCAGAGGTCATCTGTACAGTACCCTGGGCGCACCTTCAAGGGCACCCCCAGGCCATGGGCCCAGGCTCAAAACTTGATTCTAAAAAGAAAGTTATGAAGCAAAATGTGCAGGTACTCTTCTAAGCAACTTTGCCTCAGGATACCTTAAGGACTGCCTGAGCCCATATATCCCAACTTGATCACTGAGATCATCTGGAGGAGAGATGTTAATTGTCTTCCATGTTACAGAGACCCAATGGGCCAAAAGCATTAGTTGGGCATCTAGTGTTGCCTGCTCCATGCTATGGAATGCTCTTCCAGCAGAGATTCTGCAGGCATCCTTGCTTTTGATTTTCAGATATCCTGGAATACTTTTGCCCTCTACAGCTGTTTTATTTTTTTATTAGCCAGTCACCTTAAAGATTCTCTGTATTTTTATTTTTTATTTCTTTAATTTGTATCTTATAGTATAGAAATATTTCTATAAATAAGTAAGTTTACTCAGAAATAAATATTTTTATGTTTAATGGGGCTTACCCCCAGGGAAGTGGATGCCAGGTGAAAGCCCAAACTTTAGGTTAGGGTTTGTGTTGAAGAAAACAGGGTCTTGTGCCCTTAAAGCTGTATCTCCACAGTCACGAGCAGCAGAATACAGCTGACTTTCCCATAGTAAACTAGAGTCTATTGTGGGTGACAGCAGGGAGAAGCAGCAATGATGGTACCCTATCTAATTTTGTATTAAGTAACATCTCCCATTGCAGCACTGTCTCAAAATTCAAAATGTTCTCACTGGTCCAAAAAGGATGGAGAACACTGGTGTAGAAACAAAGAAAGGAATTCTAAATTAGTATTTAATGGTTTATTATACAGTGGTAATAATAATAATAATAATAATAATAATAATAATAATTCCCCAGCCACTCTGGGTGGCTTCCAAAAAAATATTAAAATACTGTAATATTAATATTATTAAATATTAAAATACTGTAAGTACCTTGGGTTAAGTACTTAATTCGTTCTGGAGGTCCGTTCTTAACCTGAAACTGTTCTTAACCTGAAGCACCACCTGAAGCTAATGGGGCCTCCTGCTGCCACCGCGCCGCCGGAGCCCGATTTCTGTTCTTATCCTGAAGCAAAGTTCTTAAACTGAAACACTATTTCTGGGTTAGCGGAGTCTGTAACCTGAAGCGTATGTAACCTGAAGCGTATGTAACCCAAGGACCACTGTACATAAATAAATGTAGATGATGATGCCAGATGGGTTGGGGACTGTTTCCCCTCTCCCTTAATCAACTATTTTTATTTCTGAGGGAGTCCACAAAATCCCACAATTCAAAACAGTGCCATGCTTCAGTAATTGGAGGGATGAGGCATTTGTGCAAATCTGGAGATGCATGCTGGCAAAAGGAACGTAATAAAGCTATGCTTACTATGGGTTTTACCCTTTTAGCTCAGGACATGAAAACAGACAATTAGCATAGAGATCTCTGTGCACTTAGGATACAAAAAGGAAAGGATGGCTTGACTGCAATATTGACACTGCACTGCACTGCAGCATGTAATTTACATAAAATGCAGTGTGCCAAACCATACTGAAAATACAATAGAGCTATAGATGTTTCCATGTCTTAATCCCTACCCCATTCCAGAAATGTGTAAAACCCACATTGCTGCCATTAGAACTGCATGATCTATTATGCACACACTTCTCACCAGTGATAAAACTAATTCCAGAACTTGCCTGTGGAAGCCCATCACCGTGAAGCCCATCAGCTGTATATACTCTGATCCCTTGTCATGTCACAGAATCGTCACAATTAGATGTTTCTTTACCATTGTTCTTTTCCCCGGGACACATGTGTCAGCAAATGCAAGTGCAGCAGACATTAAAACAGAAAGGAAGATCTTCCTGAGGAAACAGTGTCACAATTCATTACCCTTATTTTTTAAAATTCCTAAAGAGATTACAGATCCTCAATATTGCATAAAAGGTATCAGTACAGTCTGTGACAACATCTCAGAACCACTCAATTGCCTGACAAGTTCTGTTAAGATTACAGGGATTCTCCTTACCAGAAGTACCACATTGTGCATTGTGTAGTTACACGTATGGTCAGAGAAAGACTATACAGTGGTGCCCCGCAAGACGAACGCCTCGCAAGACGAAAAACCCGCTAGACGAAAGGGTTTTCCGTTTTGGAGGCGCTTCGCAAAACGAATTTCCCTATGGGCTTGCTCGCAAGACGAAAGCCCATAGGGAAATCTCCGGTCCGCGAAGCCTGGGCGCGCTGATCTCAGCGCGCGCAGGCTTCGGCATGCCGGCAACTCTCCGCGAGCAGCGGCAGCGCTGCCGCTGCTCGCGGAGAGGTCCGCGAAGCCTGGGCGCGCTGATCTCAGCGCGCGCAGGCTTCGGCATGCCGGCAACTCTCCGCGAGCAGCGGCAGCGCTGCCGCTGCTCGCGGAGAGGTCCGCGAGGCCTGGGCGCGCTGATCTCAGCGCGCGCAGGCTCGGCATGCCGGCAACTCTCCGCGAGCAGCGTGCAGCGCTGCCGCTGCTCGCGGAGAGGTCCGCGGAGCCTGGGCGCGCTGATCTCAGCGCGCCCAGGCTTCGGCATGCCGGCAACTCTCCGCGAGCAGCGGCAGCGCTGCCGCTGCTCGCGGAGAGGTCCGCGGAGCCTGGGCGCGCTGATCTCAGCGCGCGCAGGCTTCGGCATGCCGGCAACTCTCCGCGAGCAGCGGCAGCGCTGCCGCTGCTCGCGGAGAGGTCCGCGGAGCCTGGGCGCGCTGATCTCAGCGCGCGCAGGCTTCGGCATGCCGGCAACTCTCCGCGAGCAGCGGCAGCGCTGCCGCTGCTCGCGGAGAGGTCCGCGAGCCTGGGCGCGCTGATCTCAGCGCGCGCAGGCTTCGGCATGCCGGCAACTCTCCGCGAGCAGCGGCAGCGCTGCCGCTGCTCGCGGAGAGGTCCGCGAGCCTGGGCGCGCTGATCTCAGCGCGCGCAGGCTTCGGCATGCCGGCAACTCTCCGCGAGCAGCGGCAGCGCTGCCGCTGCTCGCGGAGAGGTCCGCGGAGCCTGGGCGCGCTGATCTCAGCGCGCGCAGGCTTCGGCATGCCGGCAACTCTCCGCGAGCAGCGGCAGCGCTGCCGCTGCTCGCGGAGAGGTCCGCGAAGCCTGGGCGCGCTGATCTCAGCGCGCGCAGGCTCGGCATGCCGGCAACTCTCCGCGAGCAGCGGCAGCGCTGCCGCTGCTCTCGGAGAGGTCCGCGAAGCCTGGGCGCGCTGATCTCAGCGCGCGCAGGCTTCGGCATGCCGGCAACTCTCCGCAAGCAGCGGCAGTGCTGCCGCTGCTTGCGGAGAGGTCCGCGAGCCTTGGCTGGACAGCTTTTGAAGGCAGGTGGGGGACAAGACTTCGCCCCGCCAACCTTCAGAAGAGGTCCAGGACCTCTTCTGAAGGCTGGCGGGGGCAAAGTCTTGTCCCCCTGCCTGCCTTCCCAGGGGCTTTAATTGCCCCGGACAGCGGAGAAGTCCTCCGCTGTCCCGGGGCAATTTTAAATGCCGCCCGCCAGCATTTTAAGATCGCTCCGGACAGCGGAGAAGCCCTCCGCTGTCCCGGGTTTTTAAAATGCTGGGGGTGGGAAGAAAAGCCCTTGTGCCCCCCAGCCTTCAGAAGAGGTCGGGGACAGACTGTCCCCGGACCTGGTCTGAAGTCGGCTTCCTAGGAACGCATTAATTGATTTTCAATGCATTCCATATGGAAGCCGCTGCATAGCAAAACGACTGAAGCAGAAAAACTTGCATGGAGCAATTAATTTCGTCTTGCGAGGCACCACTGTAAACAGCAGCCTTGGTAATCTGGTGTAAGCAAATAAACAGACAAATACTTACTTTATTTAAATACTTATAAACCCAGACAAATACTTACTTTATTTAAATACTTATAAACCCATTTGATATTGAGAAATCCCTTGGTGGCATACAAAGGAATCAAAAGCATAGATATATACACACACAGTATAAAATACAATTTCATACCTTTATATTGATGTATGTATGTGTGCATGCAATATCACTACTCTGAAAATAGCTGAGCTATTAGTATACATCAAATAGATATATTAACACATGCATATAGAGGTGATAAGGTTGTGAATCCAACACCCAAGGATCATGACTGCTTGACAATAATTAAAAACATCATTAAAAACAGGGCAGTGTATCAACTGGGGAAAAATGACTTTGGATTTAAGAAGTATCTGGATTTAAGATGACTAGCAAGGCCATTTCTTAGAAACCTAGATGTGGATACAATTCAGTCATCCCTCCTTTTCAATGAAAATGCCATCTCTGATGAGCTTCACACATGGAAGGGGCCACAACAAGACTGACTTACAGCACACTCCAACAGATAAAAAAGTAATGATTCAGTGAGAAGGAAGGGAGACACCAAATGACTGCTCAGCTCCCAACCTCAGTCTTAATCCACAGCTGCATAGAAAAACCCAGGGGCAATATGCATAGGTTTTCACACCCATCATAGAGGATGCATTCAGTTCACACTTGTGAGAGACCTGATCCAGCAATAGGATCTGAGCACAGACGCTGTTTCTTTGCATAGCTTGTCCTTTGTCGATGAGTAAATTAAATGTTCATGAGAAATCTATGCCGATAACTATCAGATCAATTCCTTGATTTAAATATGCATTTAATCTGCAAGAGTGCTTCTTTCAGATTATTTTACAAAAGAGATTCATGCAATAATTTGGGACATTACCATCACCATAAACCAGGGGTCGGCAAACCAAGGTCCCATGTGCCGGATGCGGCCCGCCGGGCTCCTTAATCCGGCCTGCGAACCTTGCGGACCCTGCTGCCCACTCAGTCAGTCCCCGCGCTAAACCGGCACGGTGCGGAGGCCTTGCTGCATGGGGACTGACTTCTGTGATGCGATGCAGTTGGCAGCTGCAGTGTGGGTAGCAGCGGTGGAGGGTCCTTTCAGGAGAGGGGGGTCCTTTTGGGAGGGGGGTGCTTTTGGGAGAGGGTGGGTCTGGCCCCCCACAAGGTCTGAGGGACAGTGGACGGCCCCCTCCTGAAAATGTTTGCTTACCCCTGCCATAAACAGTATGTGGTCAGGGTGCATTGTTGCATAAGCAACCCCAGGGTTTGAGAAACAATGCATTAGAGCATTGCAACAGAGGCTGCAGATTTCTGGCTTCTTTTGAAAATAGCAAGGTAAATTTGGCTAATTGTTAAATTTTAAAAAACTTACGTTTAGCTAAAGTTTACAGTTCTGTCTATTTGCAAAAACCAACCAACAGAAAGTGCTAATCAGCTGAGCTAAACAGAATACCTCATTGAGGAGACCTTACCTATTTGGCCAATCATTCTCTTAGTAATTAATAGACAGGAGTACATTCATTTTTATAAGCTATAAACATTTGTTTTTTTCCAATTAAAACAAACATTTAACTAAATGTACAAGCCTTTCTTTAAATCCATTTTATTGGTTCTTAAAATGTGTTAACATTGCATTTCTCCATTATCATATAGTCTGGCTTTAGAGCTAACTGATGACATATGATTGGATTTGACAAAGTCATGAAAGCTCATATTAAGTTTCTATTAAAATCTATACTTTGTGACAGATTTGTCAGCTTTAATTTATTACTCAGATATATTTCTGGTTCAGTAGTATCAAATTATGCCAATTATGAGATTTCATGATATGACTTCTACCAAGAATTAATATTCAAAATGCATAGACTACTTTGGAGAACAACTTGGATGTTTTACTCAAGCCTTCTAGCTTCACATTGCTTTCCAAATTAAAGAATGCAAGGTGCATTTTACAGCAGAATATATGTTCTTGAGAAAGGAACAGATGCACATGATCATGTATGCACATCATTTATTCAACTTATTTCTGTATACTTACTTCATATTATAAAGTATGTTTTCCATATTCATGAACTTTGAAATTCTAGTTTAATAATCGCAATGCAGTGGTACCTTGGTTCTCAAACTTAATCTGTTCCGGGAGTTGGTTTGACTCCCAAAACCGTTCGAAACCAAGGCGTGGCTTCCTATTGGTTGCAGGCGCTTCCTGCAGTCAAGCGGAAGCCACATCGGACGTTCGGCTTCCAAAAATTGTTTGCAAACCAAAACACTAACTTCCGGGTTTATAGCGTTCAGGAGCTAAGCCATTTGAGAATCAAGGTACCACTGTACAAACAAAAATCACTTCAAAAGGATTGCAAATAAAAATGACTGTGTAGTATATAAGTGATTAGGTCAGTGATGGCCAAACTTGGCCCTCCAGCTATTTTGAGACTACAATTCTGATCATCCCTGTTAGCTAGGGATGATGGGAGTTGTAGTCCCAAGACAGCTGGAGTGCCAAGTTTGGTCATCACTGGATTAGGTGTTTCCCAAACTTCTGGCACTTTTTTCATGTTTCAGGAACTGGAGAGACACTCTTCACTCTTGCTTCTGGGGAAAGATACTTTGGAGTATGTCAACAGACATTCCCCTCCCTCCCCCCCTTTTTTTTTACATGAGTCACTTTTCTGGGCATGCCGTTTCTGAGGCAAGTAATTCTGCTGCATTTTCAAAACAGAAGTGATCAACTGATTGCAGTGATGTAGCAAAATTACCTGTCACTGGTGGAGTCTGATTGGATGAAAGGAAGAGCAGTAAATCACACAGAGATGCAGTGCAGAACCTCCTCTGTGGACAGAAATACTTTTGGCTCAAAGGCGATATTTATTTTAAATACTGATTGATTGATTGATTGATTGATTGATTGAAGCACTCTTAATAGTTATCTCATAGTATGCAGCCATGCCCCAGCTTATAGTTTGGAAACTGCAAGAATGAGGACATGCTTCTCTCTATCTTAAACGTTTAGGTTGCAATGCTATCTGCTGTACACATACCAGGGAACAAATATCATTGAACACACTTCTTAAGTAGACATGCATAGCACTAAGTCAAGAACTAGGGATTGATACATCTGTCAATTCTGGCTTCTCTCTATTTCTCATTTTTCCAATCTTAAGTTAAATTCTGTTCATTTCCATATCACTTTGCAATTAAAACAAAAAAGTCCACATGAAATTTGTATGCATTTTCATGAGCATTTCACTAAATATATATGTATATTTGCCAAACATAATGTATTTCTGTGACAACTATTCCTAATAGAATTGAATTTTGTGCCTTCTTTTCACTAATGTAAGCATGTTGCAATCACATTTCCCTAATATACCCTGTTTTGTACCATTTTGGTTGTTAAAGAACTGCAGCAAAAAATTAGGGAAAGTGTGGATATTGAAAAATAGCGGTTTCAATCCACATATTGGTTCAGAAAGCCCAAATAAAGGAGCCCCACATTAAAATGCTAACCCAAACAACTTTCTTCCCCATCTCTATGAAAAGCAAAGCCACGTACTGTGAGCTCTTACAATCCACTTCAAAAAGTAAGTAAATACAATCTTGCAAAGAATTTTCATTATTATCCACAAGTGTGCAGTTGTCTCAGTTCAATGTAATTTCAGTGGCTTTTAAAGGCAAATTAGTCTGCATATCTGAGATTAAAGGCATACATTTTCAAGTTGTATTATGCCTCTTTTCGTTTATGTGATTTTGGCGTATACTAACACCAAAATAAACACTTGTGTTGAAATGGCACATCTGCTACTATCTACAGAGAGATGAATGGGAACACTGCACTCAGGATGAGGTGCAATTACTAATGTGCTTCATATCATACAAAAGCATGGTGGCTGAGAGACAGAAGATGGAGGTGGCACAGAGAGAAAGGCTGATGTTTGCTGCTTCAGTACTGTGCTCTAGTTTTCTTTCTTTTCTATAAAGCTATAATTCTCAGTCAT